ACTCCCATAAAGATTTATATTCTCGGAAACTACCCGGGCAGTTCTACCGAGTCCTGTGGGGTCACTATGAGTCAGAATCGACTGGGTAGCAGTGAATGTGGTTTTTGAATCTAGTGTGCCCTGGTGTGTAATGGCTAAGCACTCCACGCTTTTCCCCAAAGTTGGCAGTCCTAAACCACCAGGCACTCCGAGGGAGAACAATATAGCAGTTTGCTCTCATAAATATTACCGACTTGGAAACCCTATGAGGCTGTTCTACTTTTGTCTTAGAGGTGTAGGGTCGCTATGAGTCAGAGTGGATTGACAGCAACGGGAAATGACGACCTAGTTATGTTACTGAAGGAATAATCAGTGGCTACATGAGCTAGATTGAAGACTGAGTATTAGACTCAGAGTCTTTCTTGAAAAAAAGCATCATTGTGTGATGTGTGTGTATACGTAAACATGCTTTCTTAAAAATGAATAATGGGTGATAGGAAACTGAGTCTATTCTTCAAGATGAAAAGTGGTCCTCTGCAGCTCTTTAGAGTACATGGATCAACTTAACCAGAGTCTTCCTGGACAGCTATGAATTGTTTTTCTTCAGGGAGTCACCAACCTCAGTGTCCAGCAGCTAAGAGGCGAGTCCTGGCCATGCCTGCTCTGGTTGGTCGGCAGTGTTTGTGGTCCTCTTTTTTCGAAGGGCAGGGAAGGACAGGCTGATAGTGTGTGTATTTAATCTTACAGTCAAAAGCTGTCTTGTGCGTCCATCACTTCAGTGTTGTTTCCGTGGAATTGGAACCACTATCACCTGCAGGAGTCCATGTTAGCTGCTGGCTTCTGATTTTTGTTTCTTAGTTACTATGGAGACTGTTTAGGAAGCAGCAGGAGAACCAAAAGTTTTTAAAAATGGTGTTTTGATTAAAATTTAAGGTTTTAATTCTAACTGGGTGTTCCATAATCTTGGCATTTTTGAATTCTCCATATTATTTTGAAATCCAATAGAAATTTCTTGAATTCAGCAAATTTTGATTTTTTCCTAAAGTTGCAACATGCCTCTTGTGGTGTTAAGCCTGGGAAGAATCACACATTTTGAGTAAGGACTCGAACCTGAAAGACATATCCTAAGATGAAAGGAACTAATGCACTGGGACTAAACCGAAAACCAGCTCACTGCCATCGCGTCACTACTGACTCCCTGAGGGGAGGGCTGCCCCAGCGCGGCACCACCAGGCTGCCGCCGCCATGGCACTGGGAATAGCCGAGGCGGAATAATAGCAATAAAGCCCCTAAGTATTCACATCGGAACGTTTTATCTTCAAAATATGTTGCAGAGGTGATTTTCACAAAGCAATTCTGTTCATATGTCAACTGAATTAAAAACAAAACTTAAAAACCTTTGATTTAGACATTGAGTACATTTTAATGGCCGAAGCAGGAAGCATACAATTTAACTGTTATCTTGAGGAATTGGAGTCGGTTAACGATCTAGCACCTGTGGAGTGTTCTAGAGTTAACGTTTAGTAGGGATATTTTCCTCACCAAGAACAATGTTCACTTGTGAGTTACTCAGAGAGCAAAGAAGAGATTGGTATTATAGAAATTGTGAAAGTAAAGTCCTATAGAAAAATTGCAATCCCAAACTTGTGGCAGTACTTCTTTGAAATTTGTATTTGCACGTGACAAAATTATATTTGCACTGCTATAGGAAAAGAGAGCTCTGGTATTAATAGTGGGTTAATCTTTGGGTTGCTAACCTCAAGGTTGGCTGTTCAAACCAAGCCTTCGGAGAAAGGCTCTTTGCCCCCCCCTTTTTTTTTCTTTCACTTTTCAAGGTTTGTTTCCACCTTTTTATTTATTTATTTTTAATTTTTAAATTGTTTTATTAGGGGCTCATAAAACTCTTATCACAATCCATACATACATCAATTGTGTAAAGCACATTTGTACATTCATTGGCCTCATCATTTCATTTTTTTTAAATGTTTTGTTGTTTTTCTTTTCTTTTTTTTTAAACATTTTATTAGGGGCTCATACAACTGTTATCCCAATCCATACACACATCAATTGTGTAAAGCGCATTTGTACATCATTT